GAACTCTTTTGTTAGGCGCATTCAAAATTTGACTATGAATAGTATATGTGAAATTGAATAATTTGAAGGCACGGATATAATTAATAGACGCCTACAATTGGACGCCTACAATTTGGACAACATTTTATTTTGCAATTGGTATTCTCTTTGGCTATAAATAGCCTGAGCCAGAGAAGTTTCATAACAACAAAAAAAAATCATCCAAGTATATATAGAAAAGTATTACATATATATACTGATACACCACCGTGTATTTTAGCTCTCCCACTCTATTTTGTAATCTCTTTCATAATCCCTGTAAACACTGCAAATTATAGTGAATTGTTTCTCGGCTTCCTCCGCCCGTGGTTTTTTTTCCCGATTTTGGTTTCCACGTAAATTCCTGTGTCTCTATTCTATTTATTTTATTCGTATTACGTTGTGATTATTACACTTTGATAATTTTTTATCCCATTCCGCATTGAGCTAATATTATTTAAGTCAATTTGGATCCATCGTATTTTACAACACCCAAAGGTGCAAAGTTAGCAAAGTAAGCAATTAGATTATACTTCCTTCTTCCTAAACTTGCATTGTGTATTTGTATGTATGTATGTGCATACATCATACATGTATAAGTGTGTGTATATCATGCATACGTATAATAAAATTGTGTATTATGTGTCCTAATATTTCTAATATCAAATACTTTAAACTCTCAACACAGGAGGCAAGTCTCAGTGCTATTCAAATCCTTCTCGTTTAGTTTCGTATGGGCGTTTTTCCAGTGGTTTTTTGCAGCCGGTGATGACTGTGGATTCGCCAGTTTCCCCACCTTTGGTCTCAAAGCCTATGCCCAAAGGTTAGTCTTTTGTTTTTACATCCAAAAATTTTGTTTTCTTAATTCTTCGTGTTTTTTTTAATAAATGTGAATATTGAATGGTCTTTACAGATTCTATTTTGACTTCTCATCAACATATGTTGGTGTGGGAATGATATGTCCTTATATGGTTAACATTTCATTACTCATTGGTGCAATCATGTCATGGGGCATCATGTGGCCACTCATTGAAGCCAAGAAAGGAATTTGGTACTCAGCAGATAGCAAGCAGTCTTCATGGCATTCAAGGTTATAGGGTATGTAACACATAGCACCTCAAAACATAACTATTTTATAAAGAGTTGATTCATACTAGACCATATCTTTTTGTCATACACAGCAATAACATGTTTTTATTTGCATATTATACAATCTTTCTAAAGCATAAATGGTTGTGTATGACAAAAATAGTTGGTACGAATCAGCTCATTTTTATAAATTAGTTGTTGGTTTTTCTTAGTATTGCGGATAACATTTAATCTCATTAACCTTTCATTTTTTTCACAGGTATTTCTTGCAGTTGCAACAATGCTCGGAGACGGATTATTCCATGTTGTATACATGGCAATCGTGATGCTATTTACCATAATCAAAACCGGATCAAAAAAAGTCGAATCTTTTCCTCAAGACGAAAATAGATCACAACTTACTTTCGATGAACAAAAACGAAACGAGTACTTCACTAAAGACCAAATTTCAACATTCACAGCACTCGGAGGCTATATAACCCTAGCAATAATCTCAATATTCATCATCCCTAATTTCATCTTCCCGCAATTAAAGTGGTACCACATGTTAGTAGCATACATCATTGCCCCAATTCTAGCCTTTTGCAACGCATATGGATGTGGTCTCACTGATTGGTCACTAGCTTCAAACTATGGAAAACTAGCCATCCTTATATTCAGCGGGTGGGCCGGAATGGGTCACGGGGGAATCATAGCGGGTCTAGCCGCATGTGGTGTGATGATGAACATTGTCTCAACAGCTTCAGACTTAATGCAAGATTTCAAGACTGGATACCTCACCCTATCATCACCTAGATCTATGTTTTTTAGTCAAGTTATTGGAACGGCTATGGGGTGTGTTATGTCACCGTTGGTGTTTTGGTTTTTTTTATCGGGCCTATTCTGTGGGTGACCCGGATGGGTCTTACCCAGCTCCGTATGGAGCTCTTTATCTTGGGATTGCGGTTCTTGGAGTTGAAGGATTGGGTGCACTTCCGCATAACTGTTTGAAGCTTTCGATTTGGTTTTTTGTTGGCGCCATTTTGGTGAATCTTTTGACTGTGGTTTTGAAGAGGTATGAGAAAAGGTTTGGGGTTTATAGGTTTATTCCGAGTCCAATGTGCGTGGCGATTCCGTTTTATCTTGGGGCGTATTTTGCCATTGATATGTGTATTGGGAGTTTGATTCTTTTTGTGTGGGAGAAGAAGAATAAGAAGGCGGCTAAAGAGTTGGCTCCGGCGGTGGCTTCAGGGATGATTTGTGGTGACTCGTTGTGGGGTATACCGGCGGCAGTATTGGCTATGGCGGGTGTTAAGGCTCCGATCTGCATGAAGTTTCTTTCGGCTTCTGTTAACAAGAGAGTAGATGGATTTTTGGGTAGTTGATTTGTTTTGTTTATGAAAAGATTTCTTCGTACATATTTAAAAGATTTTAGTTGGTTTTTGGTTGCTATTATTAATGGATAGTCGTTTTCATTGGTGTATAGCTATATTTCGTGTGTTAATGTTTCTTCTGACTTCACAGCTGAATCTCAACCCATGAATATAAACATGATAACAGCATTTCTAATTCTAATTCTAATTGTAAACCTATAATCAAAATTATTCTAATCTATCATTTCATTCATTTTAATTAAATGATATATCCGATATTAGTTTTTTTTAAAACTAATTTATCATTATTTATTTAAAATGTTTCATTAAACTTCTCATTTAATTACTTATTTTGTAAACGGTATGTCATATTTTAAATAACTATAAATCTACTTCTTCTACTATAATAAATGAAGATAATTTTACCACATGTCAATTTCTAATAAGTTTTGACACTTGTCATTTTATGATAATTTTTAAATAAATAATATCCACATGTCAATTTATGGTTTTTTTTTCAAATTTTTAAAATTAAAAAACTACATAATACTTATAGTTATATATGTAAGATATCAAATGTAATAAATATTATACTAAATTTCAATTAATATGTTTCTTTATTCCTTATTTCAAAATTTTATTTTAAAAAATACTTATTATTTACATTTTAATATTTTATTTTTTTAATCAACTCGTGTAATACACGAGTTTTACACCTAGTACTATAATACATTATTTGAAATCTACTATAATAAATGAAGATAATTTTGCCACATGTCAATCTCTAATGAGTTTTGACACTCGTCATTTTATGATAATTTTTAAATAAATAATATCCAAATGTCAATTTATGATTTTTTCTAATTTTTAAAATTAAAAAACCAGATAGTACTTATAGTTATATATGTAAAGTATCAAATGTAATAAATATTATACTAAATTGCAATTAATATGTTTCT